CTAAATCACGCGCAAGTGACCACTACCTTTGCAGGCGATAATTTATGTCAAGTAGAAAGGATAAACGATCGCGGTTAGAAGCCGAGCGTGCTCTAACAAGCGCATGTCCGATTATGGTCACCATACGATTTAGCGCATCGAAATCTACAGGCAGTTCAGTGTATACCAAAAAGGCTCGGCAAACAGATGTATCACATTTATTCTTTCTCGTACTAAAATCCCTGCACCGGCTGTCGCAAATAACAATATGCGCAAGTTCTCAGTGAGGCAGAGTTGCGCAGTCTCTCTTCAACCTGACTTCAGTGGCAAGACAATGTCAAGACGCCTGCATCGGGAGTAGTCTTGTACTAACGTAAGAAGGTCACATGCGGGAGCAATCCCGATTGGTGCATAAATCCTTTAATTAGAGGTCTCTTTCGGCCGAGAATCACCATGCAGCGTTAAGGCTGCAACTGTGGACAGGACAACAACCAGAATATGCGAACGTGCAGTTCTCAAGCATATCGATACATGGAACACCGTGTTGACCAGGGATTACAGTGACATCGTTGCAGTATCAGAGGAACCCCGTCTCATGGCCTAGCACCCTAACACAGCAAAGGCCATGGTCCAGGTAGTGCATGTCTGCTCGTGGATGTCTACTGCGTGGCCTGTAGTCCTAAATGCAGTTATTCCGTCAGTTGCCGGCCTGTCAGGCTACAACATTTAGTGCGTCATAAGGCTAGATCCACGCATGTAGGGAAGCCCAGTTTACGCGGTTTATGCTCGGCTTAACAAAGCAGGAAGAAAACTTCACCTTCTTAATTTCCTGAGAAATTAATTTCTGTTCGCGGTGTACATCAGTGCATTTAGGGTCTATGGGCATAGACCGAAATTGTAAGCGCATATTTTGGCTGAAACCCTTCAACCACTGCAACCTCGCAGCTGTGTCAAGAAGCGGCACATACCAACGAAACAGGTGCCTGGGCCTGTTAGCTAGTACTTGGACTGTTAGTACGGCAAGTTACAACATCAATATACACTACTATAGTCTGTCCGTTGACAGCAAGTGTATATTACGCAGTGGTTGACGGGTTTCAGCCCAAACACACATTTAAATTTTTGGTATACGCCTATAGACCTTAAATATAGTGATGTATACCGCGAACAGAAATTAACTTCTAATAAAATTAAAAAGGTGATCTTTTAAAACCGGTATACCAAACAGAAAGCAAACAAGGAAAGCTGGAGGAGAACTCCTCGCAGCTGTGTCAAGCAGTGGCAGAATACCGGCGAAACACGTGTCTGCGCATTTTAGCTAAGGAGCTGGGCTATTAGTACGATAAGTTACAACAGGAAGATAATATTGCCAAAACTGAAAAAAATCGATAGCCAGTAACGGATCTTTGTTTAGAAAAGAAAGCGTGGAGCAGAAATACCGAAGAATGCGTGCAAACAGGCAAAAACGTGATGTGGTCGTCATGAGAGCACAGTCAATGCAGGCACAAAAGGTAAGCGAATATTCACATCCTTCTAAGGTTTACGATTTTATGGACAGGGGATTGATAAACACAAAGAACGGGAATATGCTTAAAAGGGCATCCGATTGAAGGAGGTGCGACCAGTAGAACAAGAGTTTTATTTTCCCGACGTTTGGGATTCCGTCGGGAATCCTTAATCATAGGTAATGGGAGGTTAGGCTGAGTCATGCGCAAATAGACAATAAAAGGGCATCCCTAGGTGAAAGAATTACACACCCGCTCAAAGGGCAAAATAGACTTGGCGGTTATTTAAGGTGATAATTTGTAGCCAGAGGAAATGCTGCAGTTTACGTTCGTATTTGATCGCCAATTCGATAAACATAAACACAACCTATCGCCGCGGGAGTCACGTCACCA